GGTCTCATCGAGAACCGAAAGTGAAATTCCTATGAGCAACGACTGTTACATTGTGCGAAAAAGTCCTAAGACCTCGATGAACCTGGTTGAGCCCAATGCAATTTCGAGTGAAAGTGTTTGGGCAAGAAATTCGTAGGTCTACAGAAGATTCCTCTTGACCAGCTTTCGATGGGCTTTACTGGAAAAGTCTTGTTGACAATGTCTCCGATGTAATCTCCTTAGATTCCGGTGGAAATTTTATAGGCTTTCGTCAGTCGTATGACGTACATCATCAGAGCGGGGTATTATTCTTGCAATCATATTCGAACTAACGAGTCAAGAACGCTCACCGTCTCTGCACTAAATGCTAACTCGTTAGCGTGAGTATTGTTTTAAGGATGGTACCCTGGTTTGATGATGTCCGTCATACGAGGGACAAAAACTAAGCACGTTTTCGCCGGAATCGAGAAAGTTTGCCTCGGAAGCAACAGCAACAAGAATCTTCCAGAATCCGCCGTCGTCTATTGGTTGGATCGACCTTTGAATGTCTTCACCAAACACTTTCACTCGAAATGGAAGTGACTTCAGAACTTGTAACCCAAGAGATTCCCCAAACCCCAACTTTTTCTTCGCATATGCAAATATGCTCACTTCATGTAGTTACTTTTGCGATAAGAACGAGACATCTCATGATTTGATTGTTTACTTCAAACATACCCTACATGCTTGCAGATGAGGGAAGTTGATGTATTAAAATGAAGTGGACGTGGTTGCAGCTGATTCATTACAACCGTAAACCATCACACGATTGTCTAATGCCTAGGTATGTTTGGATATGAGATATTGTTTACTGTATGTGTGCAATGTTCAGGTCATATGAGGTGTGAAAGCTTTGTCTAGACTCAGGGCTATTCCAGACTCTTGCTCTCTAGACTTTCTAATCCCAAGCTTGGATGTAAGTCCCCATAACCTGTAAAATGTTATGTTTCGACTATTCTATTTAGTGTTCTATTCTAGCCATGTTTTCTGTGAGTTCAAATTTTT